TAAGGAGGACAGACAGCATCATCAATTTTTAAGATAAACATACATAGTATTTTCAGCATTTTTTCGTTTTTAGTTGACATTAGTTCATGAATTTAATAACATTAGGTCTGTGGGAATAATAATTGCCCAGGTATTTTTTTTCTTACATTAGCTAAAGTTTTACATTCTAAGATTTAATGAAATTCATCAGCAGTGTGGGTATTATTACATAGTGTACAGATTCTATCACACAGTGGTATACCATACCATCTTCCAGTCTCTACTGACAGATGATGATTTGCAGTTCGATATTTTTTTTATTTTTTCTAAATTTAGGAGATATCTTATCGATATAATGTTCAGATCCAAAGTTTTGTTCAAAGATTCTGTAAATCTGTCCATTTGAAGAATTATTTACGTCACTAGACCACTTTTGAATAAATTGATATTGTAATATTTGTTTTACAGTAGCAGTTATCCATTTATAATTCATATTGACACCCTGTTCGTACCATACATTTGATAGACCACACATATTACATATTTTCTGCAATCTAACCATGGGTTTGTTAAGTTTCCATCACAGTACTGTTTAAACATATGTTTGTATAAAACATTTACAATTTTATTTGGCGGGCCTGAAAAAAGCTTTGCCCAATATGAAATCATTCTACAATATCCCGAAATATACAGAGGAAAGCGACCTGTTTCACCACAGACCATGTACGATGGCGTGGAACTGCATCTGTATACACTGGTCTAGGCTCTTTCTGTTATTTATCACTGTTCTATTTGCCTCCGTTGACTCCTTTACCGAATCAAACACCTTTTCTAATCCACTCACATTAGATTCTAAGACTTTGGAAATCAGTCTTGATCATCCTTACATCCTCATCTAATCTGCTTACGTGAGATTTCACAGAGTCGATGGATCCTCGAATCTCTCTCAAAGACACCATTTCGGCCTCAATTGCTGTTAATCTGTTTTCCAGTTGTTCATTTTTTCAGTTCAATGTTTGTAAGTTTTGAATTCATTTGCACTAAGAGGGAATGTATTGATCAGTTGATGTCAAGGACACTTCACTCTTCACTACTTGTTTCATTGCCACATATAATGGAGTGACTTTCTGCTAAAAGCTTTGTAGTGTCAGATACAGACATATTTAATTTGAATGAAAAAACATAGAATCCAGAAAGTATCACAATTCTAGCCACTTCAGTTACTTACACCGTTATTTCACTGTACACTTTACCATGGGTACAGTCCACTAATTGTTTTCCCATAGGCGGCAATGTTAACGTTTCTTCACATAGCAATGTCTCTAATTTTCGTTCAGCAGTGAGTGACCCCTCAAATCAAAGCACATCAAGTTGTCTTTCCTTGGTTAAAATCTCGAGGTGGCATGTCAGATTCGTTTTCCGGCAAAATGCGTCTATCTGCGTTAACCTCTGAAAATGAAAGTGAAAGGAGGGGAATTCCAGACTTCTCACTAGTGTTATAATACATAAAATAATTCTGCTGATCTTATCGATAAATTACATCTGTCAAGCTTTTTTGCAAGGGAACATACTCCTTATCAACAAGTATGAGGCTCAGTTTAATACATTATCACAGTTTTTTTTTATTCAGGTCTGCAAATTAAGGAACTTGTAATTTTTTCTGCAATACTTTCTACCCCTACCGATTCTAAAAATAATTAGAGGTATGTACCCACATACTCCGAACAAAGAAAGTTTTTAATAACGCAAAAACAGCCAAATCATTGGCAAAATCGATCAAGCTATATCACTAAAACCACGTTATTCAATATTCACTTACTCAATCCTCTTCAAAAAATTTTGGAAACAGTATATTTCATTTTTTTTTCACCGGAGCCCAAAACAACAGCACTTACCGGCTCGGTGACCTCTGACCTCTCCCCTGATAATTACAAATAAAACATTTTATATCAATTCATGCTTTAATTGCGGAAGCCCAATAGTGCAAACCAAAACTAAATTTAAAAAAAAAAACGAAATTATTAAATAAAAATGAATTTATTAAATAAAAAAAAAACAAATTATAAAATAAAAAACGAAATCATTAAATTAAAAGAAACCAAATTATAAAATAAAAAACAAAATTATTAAATTAAAAGAAACCAAATTATAAATAAAAAACGAAATTATTAAATAAAAATCGAAATTATTAAATAAAAACCATTTTATTAAATAAAAAACCAAATTATTAAATAAAAACCAATGTACAAGATAAAAAACGAAATTATTAAATAAAAAAACGAAATTAGATTAAAAAAAAATGAAAATACGGAATTTAGACGTGCATTGTAAGGGCTTTGTTTTGTATTTTCGTTTTTTTATTCAGTAATTTCGTTATTTTATTTTGTATTTTCGTTTTTTATTTAGTTTTGGTATGCACTATTAATAGTTCTACCGATAACCATGTCACCAAAATTGCATTGGCTCTGTGAGTCGAACATCCTACGTGTATCGTAATAATGTTTTTTTATAATGTTGAATAAATAACGAGTAGATTCACCACATCGTACGTGTATCGTAATCATATTCATGTATTTTTGCGATGTTGAAAAATTAACAATATGAGTAGATCCACCAAAGTGTATTTTTATGACTCTAACACCACGTATAGAGCATTTTTAGGTCAATCGACAAATCTGAGTACTGGTTGCCATGGTAACCGAAACCACCATTTTCAGACCAAAAAATATGGAGCAGTCTACTGAAATAATACCAACTTCATCTTAAATTTCTATTTTCTACTCATATTTCACAGGTTTAATTGTTGCCTACTTCGACGGATTATTTGTTGAAGTAACTACCATATATCTAGTGAATTGATTTAGTAGTACACTGTAGGTCATGAACGACTGATCTTTTAATAAAAAGTGATAATTTTTAAAAATTTATCAAATCTGAAAAAAATGCAAATTTTGAGCACTTTCTAAAAATAATAGCAAGGAAATGCAGGCAAGTCATAAAGATCATAGAGACAGGATAGCCTTGGTAGTGGTGGGTCTTCAAAATACGTAGTTATCTGATTTGTTGCAAGAGGCTCCAAGTCACAGTGTTAATCGGTGTTTTTAGTTATTGGTCGGTCGTTGACTGTATATTCGATTTCACACATTAGGGTATGAAGTCCTTCACCATTAAGGATCTGCTCCTTTAGAACACTATTCATGGCTTTGCGGATAGATCTGATTATTCTCTCCTACAAAACACTATAATGTGATCCTGCTGGTGGGTTGAACTGCCAGTCTACGGTCCTCTGTTACATTGTAAATTGAATCCGTGCCTGGTTCCATTCTTGTATGGATCTTTTAAGTTCACGTTCGGCACCAACAAATTTAGTTCCATTGTCTTAACTTGTCCTCTTCTTGCAATAAAACGGCACAGGGCATCTATGTAAGAGTCTGTATTCAAAGAAAGCCGCACTTTCCAGATGCACTGCACGACTAGCTAAGCAAGTAAATATAACATCATAGCGCTTAACATGGCTCCGTTTAAGTTTTACCTCAAGCGGTCAAAAGTAATTGACTCCAACTCTGCTGGATGGTGGTTCATCTGGAACAAGGCGATCTTTGGGAAGACTTGCAATTGCCATCTTCTGCTCTCCGACCTTTGACCTCTGTCGTCGACATGTAACACACTTTGATATGACATTCCGAATGGCAGAAGGAGCATGAATAAACCAATACCGTTCTCTTAGCTTTGCTAACATGTGATCTTTACCACTGTGAAGTAGGTATTGGTGAATTTGTCTAAGAATTAAAGTAGACACATGATGATGATCTTTGGGTAAAATCACTGGCTGATTAATCTCTACTGGAAAACTTGACTTGCGTAAACGACCATCAACACGCAAGAGCCCGTCATCTAAGAAAGGATCCAGGCTCCTGACTCGGCTACCACGACTGACACGAGAGTTTCCTGACTTAACGGTGTTTATTTCTATGGGAAATTCAGTCGCTAAATGAAAGTAATATTATAGCTCTTTCTGCTTCTTTCAAATCCTGAAATGAAATAATAGTCTTGTCATAAGAATCGTCCTGCGCTGTTGAATGAGAATCGAGTCTTTTTTGCAATAGCATGTCTTAACAGTTCTTTTCGTACTTTCAAAATCCAGGCCACGCTACGTTTCAACGAATACCATGATGGCGAATAATGTTGAAACAGCTTGTTAACACAGTCTGTAGTATCCTCTTTAAATTACTGAGATTTTGTGATAACTGCTTTTACAGTAACTTTTTTCACCTCTTGGTCGTTATCCAACAGTTCTCTGTCAGTAAGCTGCGAAGGCGGTGTTGGCCAATGATCCTCAGGTTCAAACAGGAAATTTGGGGCTTTGATCCAGTTCTCCTGTTTCAGTAAGCCATCTGCAGATATACCTCTAGATGCATGATTAGCTGGAATCAGCTTTGTGTTAATGTATCTCTAATTATAATCAGTTGGTTGTGACCCTTCGTGGATTACTGTTAGCCTGTTGGCGACGAAAGTATGAAATCTTGCTGTACTGTTCTGAATATATCGTAGAACGGCCATGCTGTCAGTCCAGTATGTAACATGATCAACAGGAATGTTCAACTCTCTCAGTAACATCTTATTGGTTCTGACGGCTACACGGCTACCGTAGCTGCTGTCAACTCCAATCGCGGAATTGTTGTTTGCTTCAGTGGTGCAACACGAGATTAGCCCATAATAAAGGAACAATGACGTTCACCAAAGGCGTTCTCCATACACAAGTAGGACACTGTACCACATCCAGTTTCACTCGCATCAGAAAAAATGATGTAACTGTACAATGAGTGGATGAAAACCAGGGGGTTAAAGACATCTGTCCACTTTGAAGTCTCAATTTCTCAAGATCCTGGTACATATACCAATTATTCCACTGAAGAGCAATGTCATCTGAAATCTTGTCATCCCAACCAAGCTGAAGCTTACACATTTCCTATAGAATGATTTTAGCCATGAGAAGCAGTGGAGCTAAAAATCCCAGTGAATCAAGTACGCTGCTTTACCATTGACAGAATTCCTCGTCTTGTAGGTGGTTTCTTGTTGAAGTCCAATCTAAACTGAAAGATATCAGAATTCACACACCACTGGATGCCGAGGGCTCGCTCTGTTGGTAGAGTATAGTAGTCAAAATCCAAATCCTTGACCTCCTTGGCTCTATCGGATACTGGTATTGAATTCATGACCTCATGAATGTTGCTGATCAAATTCGATATATGAAATCCTCCACTTTCCAACGGTCCCTGTAGCTCTTTCACCAATGTCACACCATTTCTTACAGAATTCACCGACTTGAGACAATCATCAACATAGAAATTCTGAAGAACTGTCTTTATTGCCTCATCACTAAAATGTCCTGTACAGTCTTGAGTAGTTTTTCGAAGACAAAAGTTGGCACATCTAGGTGACGACGTAGCTCCAAACAAATGCACAACCATCAGGTATTCGAGAATACTACTGGAAGGATTTCCATCGTTCCACCAGAGAAATCGTAGAAAAGTAGCATCGTGTGGAGGAACCCGTACTTGGTAGAACTATCGATATCCCCCATAACAGCGATCTCCTCCTCTCTAAATCGCATCAAAATCCCACTGAGTGTGTTTGTCAAGTTAGGGCCCTGTAATAACTGTTCATTTAGTGAAGTCCCTTGGCACTTCGCTGCATAATCAAACACAACTTGAAGTTTATTTTTCTTGGGATGTAGTTCATCATGATGAGGTAAATACCAAACACGTCCATCATCTTGGTTTAAGTCTTCATTAGGTACCTTTTGTGCATAGCCTTCGCTAATAATTTTGTCCATGAAAGCTTTAAAATTGATATGGAATTCACTGACACTGCAAAATTTCCTAGACAACGAATTCAGTCTTGTTCTGCTTGCTTCCTGTTGTTTGGCATTATCACATTTTCTGATTTGAATGATAAACCAATGACATAATGTCCTATTTCAAAGCGAACTGAATTTGTCACAAAGTTGTGAAATCTTTTGCCGTCCCTTGACGGCTCTGAAACATCATCAATAGCTCTTTCACTTAAGACATGATTGCGTGGAGACCGGTCTTTCGGATGAGACCGTATAAACCGAGGTCCCGTGTCGCAGTAGGTGTTGGCACGAAAAAGATCCCTCACTGCTCAATGGCCGTAAGTGCCGAGCATAGGTATGAATTTGCAGCCCTCCACCGGCAAGTGGTGGCGTCTCCATATGAGTGAAAAATTCTCGAGAGGGACGTTAAACAACAAACAAACAGTCATGATTGAATTGATAGCTCACTTGCTCCTCTAATCTTGCGTCTATGCGGTTGACTGTGACGTATGTACTGTAAGTACCCTTTTCTGGTCTCCTATCAAGCGTTCCATTGATTACCCTTCCTAACAGAGTCTACAGTAATGGACCTTTGTCTACACTAGAAATCACATCCCACGGCTCCAATGCTTTAGGAACGTTGACACCAATGAACAAACCAACATCACTCTCTGGTATCAATATGTACATCACACAAATGTGGCCATCTTTGTAGGTCTGATGGAACAATGTCTTTCTTAGATATGGGTAAATCTGGTTGAGTGTATATAGGCGGTAAGTCAATTGTGTTATCACCATGCAAATCACTCACTTCGAGACCAGATGGAATGCAACAGTTTTCTCTCTTCTGCTGTCCCATAGTTGTTAAGTTAAGTACAGTCTTTTTACCTTCTATGTGAAGTGATCTTGCGATTTCCTCTGTACAAAATGTCGCTGTACTCCCGGAATCCAAGAAAGCCTAAGTTATAACGAATTTGTCACTGTTTCTTGATTTCATTCGCACGGGTATTACTGGAAGCGCTTGCCTCACTGAGTCCCCAGCCCCCATATGCGCTGTTGAGGAAACGGCCGCAGATGTTGTTGTTTTGAACAGTAGTCACTGGGTTTTCGTTGCTTTGTCGAGGATTCTCATGAAGTATAGATGGATGACACTTCTTACAATGGACGCAGTATGATTATTGTTGACTTAAGATGTCCAGATCTCAAACACGAGAAACACGGTCCAAAAAAATTGACTTCAACACAACATATCTGCCCTTTAGAGGTAGCTACATAATGTTCCTGCACTCTTCCAATGCATGTGAGGTGCCTTGACAGTAAATACATGGTTTCACAAATGCAGGAGATTTTGGTATAGGTTGTTCAGATGAATGATTATTTATAGATAGATGAGACTCTACAGATTTAGTTGCAAAGTTCCTTTTCTGTTTTAAGAATGTGGATGGTTTAACATTCTGTCCATGCGCCGAAGATGTTGCGTTATTCATCACTTCTCTCCCATAGATTTAGCCTTAATAGCTTCCTTACGAACAAACTTTACTTAAGTTTTCACAACTTCTCTTCTGTCCTTGAGCTCATACACAACATTTTGCCACTTTTCTTGTAAGTAGAACTGAAGTTTCCTTATAATAAGTTTCATGTTCTCTGGATATTCTAGGGCTCCAGCGCTGGCTACATTATAAACAGCATGCTGACACTCTTTAAGAAATATTGCATAGTCATCAAGTCCCCTAGCATTGCCTTGTTTTATCGATAACCAATTCAATGCTTTTTTTCACATAAGCTTGCGCAACATCATCATGTCGGGATCATCATATCGAACTTTGAATTCGTCCAATGTAGCCTTGTATCCTCCTTCAACATTTAAGTGTGAATATCTGGGGTCACTATTCTTATTAGCTTCACCACTGGTAAATTGCAAAAGTTCGTTCAAACGTTCTTCATACGAGCTGGTATTAGCACACACCTTTGTATTAAAATATCTAATGAATCTGTGATAGTCCATTGGATTCCCTTCTAACTTCTGTATTTCTGATTTAGGCTAATTTAGTTCTTGTGCTACTGTAAGTAAGCCTTCATGGTCACGATTATGATTGTACCCACGTCCAGTATTGTATAAGTCACCGAATGTGGATAATGCAGGTACATAAGGTGTACTATGTTGTGTCGACATAGGAATGTAAGGAATACTATGTGGCGTACATGTAGACACACTAACAGGCACATGTGTTGAAGTACATTGAGTCACAAAAGGTGTATTCCAGTTCTGTTGAGAGAAGTCCTTGACATAGATGTAAACAAAGGCGCATGTGGATTCAAGGTTTTTTGTTTGTTTGTTTATTGATTAGCGTCCCTCTCGAGAATTTTTCATTCATATGGAGATGCCACCACTTGCCGGTGGAGAGCTGCAAATTTTGACCTATAACTCGGCACTCATGGCCATTGAGCAGTGAGGGATCTTTTTCGTGCCAGCACCTACTGCGACACGGGACCTCTGTTTATACGGTCTCATCCCAACACATCCCACTGTGGGATTCGAACTCCTTACTCCGCCACTCTAGAGCGAACGCTCTAACCACTGTGCCACGCGGGCGACTGGATTTAAGGTAGATTACATAGTACACACGGGTACGTGCAAATACGGATACTGCTGTGCAGTTGTTTTTTGTACAGGTGAAAACACAGGTGCATGGTGATGCAATTCTGAATGAATATCACTCAAAGTTTCAGTAAGTTGTCTGTTCGTAGGTTCTTTCCTTTCAAGTTCTTCAATAAGTTTAGTTCGAGCATCACTTATCTTTAATACTGTCTGTATATCTAGTTCTTTTTGATTTTCAGTTGTAATTTGGCCTCCTCTATCTGTTTTTTATCCTAGCTGAAGTGAAGCTGCTCATGCTAGTTACTCTGCTTTATGTTGACTTGCTTCAAGTTTGGCTACTGAATAATTGCTTGATTTTGAAATCACAGATCTTTTGTCGCGTGAAACACTTTTTGACTGTCTTAAAAACCAATTTTTACTTCCATTAATTGCTCATCGCTTCTTCTAAAGGATGATTCTCTATAAAGTCATTTTCCGGCCTACGATGAAATAATTTAAAAAATGTAAATTTAATCTCTCTATTTTATGATTGTGGTGTTTATTTTTCAACATCGATCACATTAGTCATGTGATATAGAGATAAAATATGGCGGTCAAATGAAGAAAAAATGAGGGTAGATCTAATTAAATCATGTTTAAATGCGTGTTGCTTAATTTTATTGGTCGAAAATTGTTATTTTATATAGAAAACATATCATACTAAAATAATATTTATATAAAATGTTTTAATTAATGATTAAATTTAATTTTTCTGGACATAAATAGTGTAGCAGTCATATTTTGTAAAAATAGAATGTAAATCAATACAAAATGCACACCGCATGACGCAAATAACCGTTAAAATGTCATTTAATTTGGTCAGATACTTTATTTAAGTGTATATTGTTATTTCCTACTGTGTTTATAGATGTGTCACTAATTTTTAGCATAATAAACCCATATAAGAAATGAGGTGTCGAAGAGTCTTTCAAGATTGACTGTCAAGGATGTGAATTAAATGCTGAACACATTTTAAGAGTTCTTTTTCTGATTGAATAAACACTCAGTTGTTAATTAAAACAACTAATTCTATATTAACAATTAAAAAAAATGAATAAAAGAATCCATTTACGTGCAGGATGAAAATATTCGTGTAAATACAAGTCGTTTTTTTTATATATATCATTTGACCAGTCGATTTCTAAAACCTAGAATGGTTATACATGTAATATTGAGAATAATAATATAGAAAGTGAAAGAACATCTCAAAATTGCTTTGCTTTTATTTAATAACTCGCGTAAATTATATATGAATTTAATCGAAAGAAAACGTTATTCAAGCAATAATTTACAAATGGCATATATTTCAAAGCCAGGGTCTCTACCCCTCCCTCTTGCATCGACAGACGTTCAAGAAAAAACGCAAAATTTTCAACAGCTCCGTAAATTACTCAAAGATTTTAGAATATGGTCTGACAAATTTCTGTTACATCAAGAGTACACATTAGTCCTATCGGTCGTGGAAGTCAAGTGGTTGGCTCTGGAGGCCAAAGGGTTTTTAAATTCCTCCTTCGCGGTCCAACAAAACTAAATCAATGCGTTTACCATATATACAGGCCCTCCCTTTGCTAAACAAGCGTAAAAGTCGTTGATTTGTTTTATATATATTCTTGAAAACGGAGGTCCTGTGCCTTGATAGATATTGGCAAATAAAGAAGCAACACGCATAATTCATTTTTTTTATTCCTCACAAAAGGGGGCAACCATTTTACATGGGTGAAAAATAAAATGTCTTGTATGGAGTAAAAACATACAATCAATCACATGCGTTCGTTAGCCCCCCTCCCCCTTTGGAATTTAGGTTTCCGAGACGGAGCCTCTGTTCCCTAAGCTAATATTGCTTCAAAATGTGTATTGCATCCCTAAATCCCAAAACTAGATTGGATCACTTCAAATAGCAAAATAGTTCGATCTTGTGTCACTCATCAGGGGTAAATAGGAGTGTCCCTCTGAAAGGTAGAGGCAAAAATCCTATTCTTAAATATTTATTTCATGTTTGTAATTCCTTATCTATCACAATTACCTACTATAATTAGTTAATATACCACAATAAAACAGACGTGTATCTTCCACTACAACATCTATGGTTTTTATAATTTCAAGTACATATGTACTAACAGATATACTCAAAGAAAAATTAAATCTAAACTCAAGATGAAAGATTCTTACAATTACGTACTTTATAAAAAGTATTGTTTCTGTATTTCTAGCAATCATTTTAATAGATTTGTAATCATATATAATAACTATATTTCAGAGCAGTATTTTCATGACATCCAGTCTTTCCAGTCCTTTGATTCTTGATTTTTCAGTTGGAAAAACAATATTTTCGAGTGAAAATAGCCACAGGCACTTGGGGTATGGACCCCTCCCCCCTTTTCCATTTTTTTTCTTTTTAAATCTGGGGTCGAGTCACCTTTTTCCTATTTTTGTATTCTAATATGCACTGTATGTTATCAATAATGTAACTCTTTTGTCCCTATAAGCTGTTTTTAAATATATCGTTTTCGACTGATACATAAAAAGAGAGAAGGCTTGCAACTCTTTTCTCATCGTCTGCCTCACCTCGCTTAAACTTTGCCTGATTATTTATCGAAAGAATAAGAAAAAATGGAATATGCATACATCAATAAATTCGTTATACATTCTTCTTCCTTTTCATATTTCCATTTAATTTTTATGTGCCCCCGATTTGTAAATATTTCGATTAAATCACCTGCATCTAGGGTAAATTTTGTTGATGTGCACCAGCTGGGACGGAAGTGCCCGGTATTTTCGGGTATCATCATTAGGTGTAATGTCATTCGGAACATTAAATGCGAGAAGGAATAAATCCCGAATTTTCTCTTCATATAACATGTAACGGTAAGTTCTGTGAATAACAAGATAACTTTAACTAGCAAATTCTAATGGATGAATATTAACTTTTAACAGACGACCTAGACAACCAAATTTCACAATATTGTTATTGTAAAGCCTGGAATTTTTTTTAATGCAGAACATTTATAAAGTTAGAGTTACCGTTATTGCACTTCCGTCCCAGCTGGTGCACATCAACAAAATTTACCCTAGATGCAGGTGATTTAATCGAAATATTTACAAATCGGGGGCACATAAAAATTAAATGGAAATTTGAAAAGGAAGAAGAATGTATAACGAATTTATTGATGTATGCATATTCCATGTTTTCTTATTCTTTCGATAAATAATCAGGCGAAGTTTAAGCGAGGTGAGGCAGACGATGAGAAAAGAGTTGCAAGCCTTCTCTCTTTTTATGTATCAGTCGAAAACGATATATTTAAAAACAGCTTATAGGGACAAAAGAGTTACATTATTGATAACATACAGTGCATATTAGAATATAAAAATAGGAAAAAGGTGACTCGACCCCAGATTTAAAAAGAAAAAAAATGGAAAGGGGGGGGGGTTCATACCCCAAGTGCCTGTGAAAATAGCATGGCTTATATTCATTCTCTTTTATCAACTAGAAATTGTACTCTGACTGAAATTTTAGAACATAAAATAATCTAAACAAGGTGATATCTGCATTATGAGTAAGTTTGTTTGTATGTTGTTTAACGTCCCTCTCGAGAATTTTTCACTCATATGGAGACGCCACCACTTGCTGGTGGAGAGCTGCAAATTTTGTCCTATACTCGGCACTTACGGCCATTGAGCAGTGAGGGATCTTTTTCGTGCCAGCACCTACTGCGACACGGGACCTCGGTTTATACGGTCTCATCCGAAGGACCGGTCTCCACGTCCCACAGTGGGATTCGAACCCGCGACGTAAGGATCAACTCCTTACTCCGCGACTCTAGAGCAGACGCTCTAACCACTGCGCCACGCGGGCGACCATTATGAGTAAGTAAGCTTTCCCTAAAACTATCGTTAAAATGAAGCGAAAATTTTTTTATTTAGATGTCATAACCACCTTAAACCAAGTTGATACGATATAGTGGTCACTTTTTATATTAATAAGAAGTTTGCATGCAAGTTTTGGTGTTGGTTTAAGGTGGTTATGACATGTGTAGGAGTTGCCAAACACACCCACCCTCTCCAGTTTTCCCATTGTCCTAATGTTAATGCGGGTCGATAGCACATCATTTTGTGACCCTATATCTTAAGAGATACTACAGAACCACTAACCAAACAACATTTATGAAACTAGTAAACTGGATTACTAGTCTGATGATTGAAGCAGTTTTTAAGGGAAAAAATTTTACTTGAAATTTTGAAGTCGTTGTAGGCCGGAAAACGGCCTTATAGAGAATGAACCTTTGTCTTCATCTAATGTCTGTTCACTCGGAGAAAGCCATGCTTTCACTTCGTCCTGAGACACCAGAAACTCTTCATACTTGTCCAACCATTTACTATATGCAGTCTTGATGGCATCTTTATCCTCTGATGATTCTAACAGTTCTTTTAAATTATCACTTAGTGTTGATAATATCTTGAAACATTTTCTCTGTTTTTTGAGTCTATTTTCTAAAGTAGATTCAGCAACTTTTTCAGTCATCCTTTTCTCTCTTTCACTTCTTCTGGACTGATTCTCCTTTATCTAACCCTCATCTCCTTCCTTCATCTTCTAAATTGTAAATATTTTGTACTGGCCAAGTAGGACCGTAAGGAAACACACATTGTAAATGCGTCAATGATTTTATTGATGAGGATGACGATATAACTGGTAAGGGACGTTGAAATGAGGAAAGGTGAATGACGATTTACAGCTATAAGATTCCTCCATTGAAGCACATAAATCAGACAGTACAAAGTCATGGACTACGAAATCTAGAAAAGTTGCAGGATAGGTACACGACTCCTGCCATAATATCATGGGCTCTACACATTAAAAATATTGTGCCCCAATAATGATGACATCACAACTGCATTGACAAATCTAATTGCCGAAATGGCCGTAACACTAATTTAATTTTCCCTTATATGATTTATATGTAATGTGCACCATAAAAAATTACATAAACGATACCGATTACAAACAGAAAAGAATAAGTCTACTGGCCAGAAGCATGTAACCTCCGCTAATTCTTAAACAAACTCAAGGAAAACGCTTCTGGAACAGTATTTGATAAGAGTTCAAAGTAGATCGTGCACATTCTTGTTTTTGCCCATTCCCTCAGAGAAATTATAATTTTAAAATTAAAGCGGATTTCAATATACATTTCAATCTATCTGTGGAATGATCTAATGTACAGTTCCATTGTAGCTGCCGTCACTTCCTATGACAATAGCGTTCTGAAACATAAAAAAGATAGAACAGGAAAATAATTGATACTAAAAATTCATTGAATTGTGTGAAAAAGTTTTTTGATATAATTTTCAACATTGTGTAAGTTCTGTAGGTACTCATTAAATGCAGGTTACTGTTTTATATTTTTGACAGATGAAATCCCAACCATCCACGATAACAAACTAGTATCCTTTGGATCTCTTGCCCTCTCTATTGTTTATTTATATGTTTGATGTTGTCTCATATATGTCTTTACTGGGCCAAAAATTGGAAATAAAGAATTTACTTATACTTATTTACTATCTGAAAAACCTGATAGCATTTTCATTTTAATAGAAAAAGTAATAATTTTTAAAGCATAAAATTAAAACAAAGAAAGGGTTGTTTAGTTAAGCATAAACTTTTTAAAAGTGTAGCTGATTTTTGTCAGTCTGAAAGTTTAGCTCAACAAGTAAAATCGTGTTGGACTACTTAAGACATGATTATTAATAAAAATGAGAAAACACTGCTAAGAATAAGCAAAATTATTTATTTATTTGTTTATATATTGTCATTTGTGGCTTCAGCGATGATTTAAAAAAATGAAATTAAGCAGCTTCAGTGACCTCGAGCAACGAACATCTGAAACATTACCTACACGTTGGGAAAAAAGTACAAGTATTAAGTCATTCTGAGGAGAAAAATTCGTGAAATGACCTGGACGAAATTTTAACTCAAGGACTTCATTTCCTTGATTATTAATACACGACCTTGCATCACTTTCATGGTTAACTATCTTAGCAGAATTATATATATTTTTTTAAGTATCAAGAGTTTTTCCCTTTATTTGCTGTACAAAAATTATGCTTAGCAGCTTCAATTATTTTACAATAACTTGCTTGGCAATGTACTTGACCACATTATTTATACACTGAATTGTCTACAGATTTTTCCGTTTTCCCGATTTTGACAAGGAGCATTATGACAGGGAATGCTTACTCCTTCATGGAGCCTGATCCCACCTCTGATGTTTTAGAGGTTTTTGTTTGCTCCTCTCTTAATCTGTATTTTTTCTATGGACTTCTGATCTTGATTCCTGTTCGTTATTTCCATATTTGATAAGTCGAGGCTAGAGCTACAATGTCCTTGACTTTTCTAGTGACATTGAATCATAACTCAGATCTATATTCATCCAAAAATATATGATATGCGTTAGGTTACAAGACATTTATACATGTGAGAATGTTAGAAAAATTTCGGCTTACGAGTCGAATAAGATTTTAAAACCAGCTGTCATAATGTCTTTGGTCTTAAATATCTGGATACATGCAAGGCTGATTCAGCAACTATGTGTAGTTTCAACTGATTTGTATTCCTAACAAAAGAAATATATCTGGACAAAATTAACTCTGCAAATTCCGGGGGGGGGGGGGGGTCCGGACCCCCCGACCCCTCCCCCCTCTAGGTCTGCGCATGTTATCTATTCTTCGATATTATCATAAAACCATGATACACAATACCTATGTCTGAAGTATGAAAAATGCCCTTCAATAAGTAGGATACTGTAGTCATGTGTTGTGACAATTATTACGCCTTTACTATATTTTCTCCTTTTTATAAAATGTTCCTTTTGAACTCATATGGTAGTTATATCTTGTTTTCATGAACGAGAAACTTTTAGTGTAAAGCTCTCCTTGTCGGCAATCAGATTTTAGAACGCAGTTCGCAGTTCGCAATTCGCAATTCAAAAGTGAACTGCATTCCAGAACGCAGTTCGCAATTCAAAATTTAAACATAAGTCATGGGGTCTGAAATTTTGAGGGTAGGGTACTAGTAGTCAGTTACCACTTCTATGAAAAAATGGTGATGGTACCATCTCTAGTTTCCGAGATATAGCTCTCCAGTTTTTAGGCCTACTATATAATACTATATGAATAAACATCGGGCTCGGGAACATCGAAGTCCCCTGTCCCGGGGTCTGAAATTTTGAGGGTAGGGTACTAGTGGTCAGTTACCACTTCTATGAAAAAATGGTGATGGTACCATCTCTAATTTCCGAGATATAGCTCTCCAGTTTTTAGGCCTACTATATAATACTATATGAATAAACATCGGGCTCGGGAACATCGAAGTCCCCTGTCCCAAGGTCTGAGATTTTGAGGGTAGGGTACTAGGGGTCAGTTACCACTTCTATGAAAAAATGGTGATGGTACCATCTCTAGTTTCCGAGATATAGCTCTCCAGTTTTTAGGCCTACAATATAATACCATATGAATAAACATCGGGCTCGGGGGCATCGAAGTCCCCTGTCCCGAGGTCTGAAATTTGGAGGGTAGGCTACTAGGGGTCAGTTACCACTTCTGTGAAAAAATGGTGATGGTACCATCTCTAGTTTCCGAGATATAGAGCTGCAGTTTTTAGGCCTACTATATAATACCATATAAATAAACACCGGGCTCGAGGACATCGAAGTCCCCTGTCCCGAGGTCTGAAATTTTGAGGGTAGGGTACTAGTGGTCAGTTACCACTTGTATGAAAAAATGGTGATGGTACCATCTCTAGTTTCCGAGATATAGCTCTCCAGTTTTTAGGCCTACTATATAATACTATATGAATAAACATCGGGCTCGGGGACATCGACGTTCCCTGTCCCGAGGTCTGAAATTTTGAGGGTAGGGTACTAGTGGTCAGTTACCACTTCTATGAAAAAATGGTGATGGTACCATCTCTAGTTTCCGAGATATAGCTCTCCAGTTTCTAGGCCTACTATATAATACTATATGAATAAACATCGGGCTCGGGGACATCGAAGTCCCCTGTCCCGGGATCTGAAATTTTGAGGGTAGGGTACTAGTGGTCAGTTACCACTTCTATGAAAAAATGGTGATGGTACCATCTCTAGTTTCCGAGATTCACCCCTCCACTTTTTATGGCAATGCAATTTTATAAAAATAAGCGAATAAACATCGCGCTCGGGGACATCGAAGTCCCCTGCCCCGGGGTCTGAAATTTTAAGTACTCGTTTTAAACTGAAAGATATATTGGATTTATCAAATCTTTTCAAGAATTATTGGTCCATTGCAGGTTGAGCACAATATTTAACCCTTAATCTTGAGACATATCCAAGTTGTGTTGATTCCCTTATTTAATCTTGTAATGGAGATGGCTAAAATTGAGATCAAATCTTATTACAAGTAAAAGAGAAAAAAAAACTCTTTTCCAGAACTTCAGTTCCAATATAGTCACGTTGATATCAAAGCATGCGCGCGTATGCTGTGTTGATTCAGATACCACTTCGAGTAAGGTCTATAATAATTACTGAATCACAGGTTTTCTTAAAAAGAAAAGAAAAGAGAAATTTCTTTTAAATAAAAGCGGGGCTAAAGTTTCTCAGGTTTGCATTTTGGCCCAGGTCCACCTGTGTTATTCATTAGGAATTTCATGAAGGCAATTGACTTCCGACTTAGAACTTGTACAATAGGGATAAAGAACAAGGTACGGTTTCAATACAGATTTTGCCCTGTGTTTTTCTTAAAAATGAAAGTAATGTAAAAAATTAAAACTCATTATTTCTGAATCATTGAAATTACACGCAGTAAGATCATACAAATCATTTTTCTCACATAACCTTCTAAATGCTAATTGTGACGTCATAAACTTGTGCATTTTCCCGCATTTTCTTGAAAAGTTGCAGAAGACACCAATTTTCAATGGAATTTTCTCTCAGATGATATTGTCCACAGGCATTGCCCACAAAGATTTTGAGATATATGATTTTTCAAAGAATTTTACACAACATATCTGAAAATAAACGTGGGCGACGGCTGTGGACACTATTTTCTTAAGGAAAATAACCCTTGAAATGGGTCATTTTGAGGCTTTTTCTATTTAAAATAGAGAAATGCATCAAATTAATGACGTCATATTTCCAGAATGGTACTCTTTCATGCTATATTTTTTCCTGATTTATCACTGTCATATACTCAACTGATGTTTAAGCCAGTTTCAAAACTTTTTAATAGTATTAGATTTTTAGGGCACAATAAAGCTAAAACCGTACCTTCTTCTTTAAGTGCTGGATACTATGAAACATATTCGAGACGCATTGGGTATTATTGTCAAAAAACCTTTATGGAAAACATGGTGATGCCGTCGTGTTTTACGATTTAAGATCCGACCTCGAATCTTGATCCTTTCGATAGGTCCCGCATTTTTTAAACATCATGCTGAGAAATATTGAAAACCTGTAACATAGAGGATTGAAATTTTTAGTGGGGATCTAGTCGTCAAATTAAACTAACCACTTCCTGAAATATTTCTGGAACAGAGGCTCAAGGGTACTAGGTCACCTGAGTATAATGTCACAATATAAAGGATCAGGAGATTGAACATGAAGTAAAACAAAGACGCCGATAAATAAAGCTATGTTGCCCCAAAACAAGAGAAATATGAACATAGTGAACAGGGATCAGCAACAAAATTAATTTATTGTTCAAGAGCAAATATAAAAATTGATTTATTTACTTGCCTGTACTTGCCCAGTTTGTCACTATTCTCATGTAGACTAAACAAAACAATAGTTCTTGAGCACTGTTAGTAAACCTATCTCATTCTCTCTCACATTGGCCTCTGTTTTATTCAGCTATTATTTGAATGTCTACCTGACATTATTTAAGAAAATACTTCTTGTCAAAATTGTAAATATCTGTTATTCTGTTGACCCTTCAATTACATTTACAGTGTTTAACTATCATAAGTGAATAACAAAGTGGAATAACTTCTGTTAGTAGAATACAAAATGATAAATTGACCAAATGGTGCAGAATTTCAAAAACCTTGTAAAAATAATCTTATTTATTTCAGTTTTATATATATTCTTTTTCCCTCCTAAATGTCCAGGTGCAAAGATGAATGGTTTCAAAGAAATAATGCATTTTCACCACAGATTCAACATAGCTCCATCCTAACACTAGAGCCTTTAACCCAGAGGCCATAAAATTTACAATTTTGGAAAAGACACCCTTGC